TGCGCACTCTTCTCCCAATCTCCGCACATCAGAGTAGAATATTGGTGTGGTGTAGCTTTCGATGTTCCAAGGCCTGGGATATCCAAGACTATACATTTTACATTTACGTCATTTAGCAGACGCTCTTATCCAGAGCGACTTACAGTAGTGAGTGCATACATTTTCATATTTGTTCATAATGGTCCCACGTGGGAATCGAACCCACAACCCTGGCGTTGCAAGTGCCATGCTCTACCAACTAAGCCACACGGGACCACTATACCAGCTACAGTGCACATAATTCTCCAGTTTGTAAGGTTAATAATAATCTAAAATCCAACCTGAAACCGTCACTCCATCTGCTGAAATAAGCTACCCAATGTCATTCTTGGTAAGTGTGGACATTTATAAGCGAAAGTGAATCTATAAAAACCGAAGTTGAAATCAACTAGCTAGGCTAGCAAACATCAAGTCTGTGTGTATGACCCAGAGGCATGACCACTGCGTGATAGATTGTTTGCTGGGCAACGCAATGGCAGTGAGTGGGCCACTCAGAAATAGAATGAATAGAACGGGCTTGGAAGCTTGAATGAGTAGGTGTGTCCAAACATTTGACTAGTAGTGTACATACATACAAACAAAATTGTGGACACCCCTTCAAATTAGTGGATTTAGCTATTTCAGTCACACCCGTTGCTGACAGGTGTATAAAATCGAGCACATCGCCATGCAATCTCCATAGATAAACATTGGCAGTAAAATGGCCTTACTGAAGAGCTCAGTGACTTTCAACGTGGCACCGTCATAGGATGCCACCTTTCCAACAAGTAAATTCTTAAAATTTCTGCCCTGCTAGTGCTGCCACGGTCAACTGTAAGTGCCGTTATTGTGACGTGGAAACGTCTAAGAGCAACAAGTGGTAGGCCACACAAGCTCACAGAACGGAACCACTGAGTGCTGAAGTGCGTAACAATCGTCTGTCCTTGGTTGCAACACTCACTACCGAGTTCCAAACTTCCTCTGGAAGCAACGTCAGCACAAGAACTGTTCGTCAGGACCTTCATCAATTGGGTTTTCATGGCTGAACAGCCGCACACAAGCCTAAGATCACAATGCGCAATACCAAACGTCGGCTGGAGTGGTGTAAAGATGCCGCCATTGGACTCTGGAGCAGTGGAAATGCATTCTCTGGAGTGATGAATCTGGTCTGGGGCTGTTATTCATGGTTCGGGCTAGGCCCCTTAGTTCCAGTGAAGGGAAATCTTAACGCTACAGCATACAATAACATTCTACACGATTCTGTGCTTCCAACTTTGTGGCAACAGTTTGGGGAAGGCCCTTTGCTGTTTCAGCATGACAATGCCCCTGTGCACAAAGCAAGGTCCATACAGAAATGGTTTGTCGAGATCGGTGTGGAAGAACTTGACTGGCCTTTACAGAGCCCTCACCTCAACCCCATCGAACACCTTTAGGATTAATTGGAACGCCAACTGCGAGCCAGGCCTAATCGCCCAACATCAGTGCCCGACCTCACTAATGCTCGTGGCTGAATGGAAGCAAGTCCTCTAAGCAATTTTCCAACATCTAGTGGAAAGCCTTCCCAGAAGAGTAGAAGCTGTTATAGCAGAAAAGGGGGGGACCAACTCCATATTAATGCCCATGATTTTTGAATCAGATGTTCAACAAGCAGGTGTCCACATACTTTTGGTCATGTAGTGTATATTCTTCTTGTCCGACTATTATTTTAAGTATTTAAAATATCCAGCTAGCGACTGGAACAAGCTGCAAAAAACAAACTCAAACTGGACAGTTTTATCTCCATCTCTTCATTCAAAGACTCAATCATGGACAATCTTACTGACACTTGTGGCTGCTTCGCATTATGTATTGTTGTCTCTACCTTCTTGCCCTTTGTGCTGTTGTCTGTGCCCAATAATGTTTGAACCATGTTTTGTGCTGCTACCATTTTGTGCTGCTGCCATGTTGTGTTGCCACCGTGATGTTGTCATGTGTTGCTACCATGCTGTGTCGTCGTCTTAGGTCTCTCTTTATGTAGTGTTGTGGTGTCGCTCATCGTGATGTGTGTTTTGTCCTCTATTTTAATTTTTAATCCCAGCCCTCGTCCCCGCAAGAGGCCTTTGGCCTTTTGGTAGGCCGTCATTGTAAATAAGAATTTGATATTAACTGACTTGCCTAGTTAAATAAAGGTTAAATAAAATACAAGAGGACAAACATTAATGTCGAGACCAGCATCAGCAACTCCCATTTTGTCTTATCTCTATCCATCTTTCCTTTTCATCCTTCCCCCACCAGTCAGAGTCCTATCAACCTTCTCTTTATCACTTGATCTCTCCCCCATCACGGGTTCTCTTTTCACCCTCTTCTTCCCTCCATCGCTCCTCCATCAGGCTCTCTGGGTACCTCCCTCCGTCCCATCGTTCCCTGCATCATTAAGCTTTCCATCCCTCTATCATAACCCCAAGAGCAGCCCCCATAGCGCCCTCTCCTTCACTCCATCTCTCCTCCATCTGTCTCGGTGGGTCCTTCCTTCCTTCTCAGTTAGGGACATATTGCCTCATTTCCATCTATTCTTCTTCCCTCCCTCCATCAGTCCTGGTCCTGTCATTTTCTGTATTTCATCCCTCCAGTCATCGTGGCTGGGTCATCTTTCACCCTGCATCGTCTGTATTCAGAGTGATTACATGCTTGGTTAACTCATTCCAGACTCCACTCTCAGAGTGACGCACTCTGGACAAGGGCAAAGACGCTTTGCATGCATTCAGGTCTCGCACACACACCATCCACACACGGGTCATTCTCACGAAACGGACATTTGACCAAACATTTCTTAAGTATCATTTTTCATGAAATTTCCTCTTGGATCACTGAGATTAGGATCTGTACTTATCTATTTCATAATTATTATAGTTTTTTTAAATCAGATATTATGCATTTTACCACAATCACCAACGCAAAAATTATCATTACCACAAGTTCAAAAAGGTTAAGCCTAAAATCAATTTCTAATATTTTTTTTACATTGCTCCCCTAATGAAAAGGCTTGAGTTAATGTAATGTATTTAATAATTTCTCATATTACCGTAACACAACCTTTTTGTCATAATCACTTGTGTATCCATGTCATTTATAAATGTTATTTACTTACACATATTTGGATAAAGAACAAGTCACTATCAGATTAAGCCAAAAATTGCTAAAGTGTATATTTTATTTCTCCCTATATTTCCTAAATATTGGTGCATTACAGTAATGATAAGCAGGTTTCGGAGATGAGACTGCATGTTTCGGTAATGAGTGTTGCATAGTTTGCCATTGAAAAACTGTACTGATCTCTATCAGAGATTTGATAACCCAACAAATTATCAGTGTGTTATTTGTTAATCCCAAATGATTTGCATAATACTAAAATCACTGACCTTAATGCAATTTACTAAAATACCCCTTATTTCAGTACAAGTACACAGCAAAAATTGGAGTGTTGAAATTTCAGGGTTAAACATTTCCGAGTAGATTTTCACTCCCAGAGTATAATTTGAACACATTCTGATTTAAATGGTGTTCAGTGTTGGAGTTATTTGACAGAGTTGATCCGGTCAGTGTTAACCCAACTCCGCAGAGATGTAATTAAGCTCCGCCCATGCATTTCACTTCTTCGGTTGGAGACAGAGGAGACAAGTCGGCGCCATTTTCTCCCTCCCATGCAGTACTACATGATAAGTGCAATTAACTCAAACTTACTGAAACAATTATAAATTGATGCTGAGAATTTCAGTATGAACAATGAAACATCTACAGAGAATATATGCCTAACAAAACCGTGTTTGTTGCCAGGACTGAGCAGCAAATATGTCCTGGTGATTCAGCTAGCTAGAAGTGTATGGTAAGCTAGCTAACAGTTTGTTACTTAAACCGTCTCCAACTTTATCAATGATGATTTAATAAAGGAAAAACAAAGCGTTATGTTTTTTTACTGTATAAAATCTTGTCTGAGGCTGGAGCTAACGTCTTTCCCCCCCCTTCACTTTGAACATCAAAGGGGCCGCAAAAAACATGTCCCAACATGCAGACGGTGTTTCACGTGTTTAGTTGTCTGTGTGACCAGCGTACCACTGTATTTGGTGACCCATCAGATTATATGACCTGCAGTGCTGGAAAAAGTACTCAGATCATTTACTTAAGTAAAAGTGTACAAGTATTACCAGTTAATTGTACTGAAATTACTAAGTTAAAGCTAAAGTACAAAATTAGCAGAAAATCGGGCTGTGACTGATATATTAAACATTAAATATTTAAGTGCATCATTAAATACTGATGAGTCAATGCATAAGCAGCATTTTAATATCTCAGTCACAGCACGATTTTCTGAAAATTAGTACTTTTTCCAACAGTGCAGGTCACAGAATCTGATGGGTCACCAAAAATGGTGTAACACTGTCGACTTAGCTTTAATCTTGTTTATTTACTTTGTCAAACTTCCTTGCATGTCTCAGTCAAAATGCTGGTCCAGGTGAAGTACAGCCAACAGCAGAAATATGTGAAGCTGGATGAGGATGAAGGACGGTTTGACTTTATGCAATTCCATGAAAACGGTTAGCATGGCTTAGGAAAAAAGGTTTTAAACCACACCCATGTTCTTTTAAAAGCTCATTGTGCAAGCTCCTTAATGTTGTCGATTCTGATTTCTTTACATACCTTTATCAGACTCTTTTATACGGTAAATGGGGTTAAATTGCTAATCATTTTCAGTTCTGTAATGTGTGCTTCATAGAGTGTAAAGTATTAATATACACCAAAACAGTCAATAAAAAAAAGCCAATCATAAATTTTTTAATTTGGACTTAAGAGGGAATGGGTTATGTGAGGGAAAATGCTCTAGGTCTATTTAAGGATTATACAGTGGTGGATGTATGTATTTAACGTGAACAGTTATTGGCTGTGAGGCAAGAAACAGTGCTGACTTCAAAGGCACATTCAGTTTGACCTTACTATCTTTTCCAGTCATCAAGAGATTTTGCCTGCCACCTGATGCAAAAGTTATATACAAGGATGCAACAGGGACAGAAGTTGATGCAGAAATATTCAGCGACCTCGTTGGACAAGGCAATGTGGTGCTGACAGTATTCTCAGATCAGGGTGAGATATCAAGGCAGGTATTATAAAGCACTTGACATAATATAATTATTTGCATTTTTTCTATTCCTTTAGAATTCTCTAATTTCTCCTTGTCTTCTGCTTCTGAGACGTCTGACTCAAGCTTCAGCTCAAGTGCATCAACTATAATCCTAGATGATGTCCCTAGCAAGAGACAAAGAATTGAGGTATACACGTGATGCTGTGTCTACTGAACAGGTTTCTTAATGCTTTCACATTTTTTCACTCTGAGTCTCTAGAAAAGCTATTTATCACCATGTTTTGTATTCTAATGTTTTTGTTTTTTATTAGTTGATTGAAGCTGTGCTAACATTTACATTACATTTTAGTCATTTAGCAGACGCTCTTATCCAGAGCGACTTACAGGAGCAATTAGGGTTAAGTGCCTTGCTCAAGGGCACGTCGACAGATTTTTCACCTAGTCGGCTCAGGGATTAGAACCAGCGACCTTTCGGTTACTGACACAATGCTCTTAACCACTAAGCTACCTGCCGCCCCACTGCTAAGAGGCAAGTCTGGGGGTGAAGAAGTACTACAGGAGTACCAAACAACAGAAACCCTAACAGATGCTGCAAGAATAAAAATGGTTAACATCCTGGTGGCTCACATGATTGACAATCATGGGTATGTTTGTTTCACATTGTTTTTATTTGTGCCAAATAACTGCATGGCCATTGCATAAATATACTAATTGAATATCTCCTCTCAGGCACCGCCCCACTAAAGCAATCAGTAGATTATACACGTGGGATAGTGATGTTGTTCCCTTCCCTCAAGGATCCATACTCCAAGAAGGGCTATGTAATAGGCATTATTATTGTTAACTCTTTCATGTTATGTTGTGACACAAAACTGTGTGGACGACATTGATATTTGAATTCTGTGAGATTTCTCATGAGCCTGGTATGACAACGCATTTCTTTTCTTTTTTTCATTTCAGGAACACTTCTATGATGCTGCAAGCAGCACAGGATACATTTCTTGGCATCTGAAAACAGTCCAGAGGAAGATTCGTCGAGGATCTGCACTGCCACCAAATAGCCCAATTGACTTTTCTCCAGGGGGCCCAAATTTCCAAAGGACTGTTAATGTTGAAAGGCAGCTTGATGGTGATGCTTGCCAAGAGGCCATGTCTTTGCTCAACCATACCCCAAAGACAATTCCCTGATTTTCTAGAAGATGAGAGAGACCTTTCAGCACCATCAGAAGCTCGTTAATGACCCAGGCAGAAGTGTTGATATCCTCTCCAGCTTCCTGGATACAAAGGGATTGGTAAATTTGGGATGAGATGTTTAGAATGGCTTGAAATTTGAAAGTATTTCCTGAAGTAGTAGTAGTAGTTTCATATCTTCTTTCTTAAAAGGTGGACCAAGACTTCACTCTCCTATTTGATGACGACACATCCTCCAGGCTTCTTCAGAAATGGGATTTGTTCTTCAAGCCAAATGTCATAAAAGAGGCTAAGCGGCTCACCTAAACACCAGAGTTGCGTCGCTTGGTGCAGTCAGCAGAAAGTCCCCCAGGAAGTGATCTTGATAAGGCAACGAGTTTATTTTTTATTTTTTTATTTAAATAAATCTGCTATAATTGCAGTTAAACTATAACTGCAATAATATTTCATTTTCAGTTTATTCAATTCAGTTTATTCTGTGTATCTCTGAACGTTGATCTGATTTTTGGGATAAATGTGACTAATAGACAGATGACGGTTTAAAACATTCTCATAATGCCTCCCTGTTCTCATTCAAACTTGAAAAGTATTACATTTGAAGAGTTTTCAGTTAATTCTTGTGACTTTGTCCTCAGCCCATGACCAAGAAATGGCTTCCCTGTTACATCTCCTTCCACCACCTCCAGGGGGACTGAAGTCTCCAAAAATTAGAGCATGTGATGCAGTTGAGAGACTTGTTGTCTTTCATAAGGTAATTATATTATTAAGGTGATTATAATAATTTGTCACGTCACCTTCTTAGCCACATATGTAAATGAGGGTTGTTAAAAAGTGGATGGAATTGTAATTAAGTCTTCATTCCCATCTTGCACTAGCCAATGAAAAGATGTTTAAATAATCACTTCTATAATGTAGTTCTCTGTGGCTGCACATTATTCTTGTGTCTAATTTTCAGTTTTCTGATCTCAACCCTAGTCATGCTGCAGTTTGGAGGAGCATCTCCGCAACCAGCAGGGTCGGCAGCCGTACCGCCTCGCTGTTGGGCATCAGAAGAGCAAGATTGAGAGCTTCTACATCACAATGGATAAGCGTCTCATCCCATGCAAGGAAAACCGCTCCCTCGGGGCATGTGATGAACTTTTCAAAGCACATTTTGTGTTTAATTTGTCTTACGATGTGGCACTTGTGAATTTTTACACATTCCTGCAGACAACAGTGTATAACATTGATGTGGGGAAAATGAAGGAGTCACCCAGAGTTAAAGACTTGAGAGCGAGACTGCTTAACCAGCCAGTAGCACTCTCACCCTGTGAGTAAGAAGCTATAACAATGTTGACCTGTTTCATGTGTCAGAAATATTATCCCAGCAGTCAACAGTTGATTTCACATTTAAGAGTTGAACATGGTTACTATCCTGGACCCAAGTTCAAATTGTTTTGTTCTCAGCAAGGCTGTAGGCATCAGTTCCTAACATATACAGGTTTTCGGAAAGCACATTAATAGTGTTCATAGTAATGTTCAGCAAATTGCTCAAACTTCAACTGTTGCATGTTCATCTAGTGAGCCAGTTGCAACTTCATCTCAGGCACATGCTTTGGAGGACACATTTCATCCACAAAATCAATGTAGCTCTTCCAGTGTTTATTCTGAGAGCAATGATTCAGGACTTACTAAAGATCCAACTAACGAAATGTGTGCATCCATCGTGGCCAAATTACAGGGGAGTGGGATTTCCAACAGTTTGGTATCCTCAATTGTAGGAGATTTGGAAGAACTAACAAGTGAGATTCGCTCACAAGCAAAGCATACAGCTATTTCTGCTTTACCTATAACTGACCCCAACATATCTGTGATAAATGAATCTTTTGAAGATGATGAAAACCCGTTCACAAATCTAAATACAGAATGGAAACGAAATAAATCCTTCCACACCAAAAATTGGGAGTTGTCGAGCCAGTAGAAATAACACGGAGTGAGATATGACAACAGGCGAAATCAGAAATCCGGTACTTATGATCAAGTACCTGTGAAGGATACTTTTATATATGTGCCGATTTTAGAAACATTGAAGTTCATGTGCAGAAATCCAGACATTTGTGTTTTGCTAAAGAAAGAGTGTAGATCAGAGCATGACACTTATACTGACTTTTTTGATGGAAGTTATTTTAAAACCCACCCTTTGTTTACAGCTAATAGACATGCATTACAAATCCAACTATACTATGATGATTTTGAAACAGCCAATCCCCTTGGCTCCAAACGTGGAATTCACAAAATTGGCTCTCTTTATTTTGTTGTAAGAAACTTTCCCCAAAAATTTAAATAGGTTTTCATGAACATTCAATTGGTAACACTTTTTCACACACAAGATCTGCACAAGTATGGTTGATGTTATACTAGAACCGTTGATAAATGATTCGGAAAAAACTAGAAAGCCAAGGGCTAAGTCTTCCATTTTCAGATGAGCAGATATATGGTACAATCTGTCAGATCACTGGAGATAATCTAGGGATGCACACAATTCTTGGTTTTAATGAGTCATTCAGTAGCCGTCATTTCTGTCGCCTTTGTTTGATTGAGAAGAATGATTGTCAAACGGTATACAGTGAGGATGATCCTAAGGTGATCCTTTGTGGAAAAGATATGTTTGAAATGCATTGCCAGTCTCTCCAGGAAAACCCACAATTGAAGTCACTTTATGGTTTGAAAAAAAGATCTACACTTAATTCATTGAAGTATTTCCATGTTTGTAATAACTATTCATTTGATATCTTCTTGAGGGTGTGGTTCAGTATGAGATCAAATTGCTTTTTGGATATCTCACACAACACTTTATGTCAGAACAGGACTCGCTTTCCAGGATTTATGGTTTTGATTATGGATTTCTAGAACAAAAAAATAATCCTACAAAGATTATTTTGGAGAGTGTTGGCAATGGCATTGGTTTGAATTCTATTCAGACATTGTGTCTTGTGAAAAACATCCCACTGTTGTTTGGTGACATTATTCCTGCAGAAAACAAAAACTGGAATTTGTTACTGTTGTTACTTCAAATAATGAACATCGTTTTTTCACCTTCTCTCACTCTAGGTATGACAATATATTTAAAGCATTTGATTGTTGACCACCACAAACTATTTAAGCACTTGTATCCACATAGAAACTTGATACCTAAGCATCATTTTATGATCCATTACCCATCTTCTATAAGGAAAATTGGCCCCTTATTATATACGTGGTGTTTGAGGCCAAACACAAGCTGTTTAAAGATTGTTTTAAAAATTTCAAAAACATAACCAAATCGCTTACTAAAAAGCATCAGATGGCCATTGCTTATCACTGGGAAACCTTCACCCTCAAACAAAATGAGTATGGGCCAATTAAATATTTTCTCTTCAGAGATGAGAATGTCGTCAACAATGAAATGCTTGAAACGATCTTGTCAAAATATGTTTTCTCAACTAGTTGGGTTAAAGTTGATGGTGTAGAGTATAAAGCTGGACTAGTTATTTGCAGTGCAATGGAAGAAGACATGCCAGTCTTTTGTCAAATAAGTGATGTACTTTTGGTTGAAGATCAAATTTTTGGGGGGGACAAACAAGCTATTTACAGAGAATTTTTATGACCATCATCATGCATTCAGAGTATTACGAAGTGCGGAAAGATGTCTACTAAAAATGTCTGAGCTTAAATTTCATAAACCGTTTGATATTCAAAGCTGTCTAATCCCTTAGTGTTACTTTAACTCTGTTTTGCGAGTTAAAAAAAGGAACTCTGGCAGAGTGTTAAATGTTTAACTATTTTGAAAGTGTTAATTTAACTCTGGAGAGTGTGGACTTATATAAACCCTCAAAAAGAGTTGAAATCAACTGTGGGAGTTAATTTAACACTGGACTTTTTGCTGTGTACTGTAATTACATGGATGTATTTTCAAAAGTGGACAAACAAAGTTACTTAAAAAAGAATGTTAATCCAAGGTCTTTACAGGCAATATTGGTGGTTTTAGAACGTGGATATTTGTGGTTGTAAGGTATTTTAGATATATTGCTGATTGAATGGGATCCTATGGGCAAACAGCATAACACAATATGCCTATAAAGTATCCAAATACGTGAGACATGGACAAAAACTGTCTTGAGATATCAAACAAGTGTGAAAACAGGTACACATATCAAAATGGGGTTGCTCTTTGCTGAAACACAAACTGCAGATTGTGGCTTAAGTAAGTTACAATAGGTTTATATACACAATTTTTCTTGACAAACCCTACTTAATCAAATATCATTTGTTTTACAAAAAAAATCTATACAATAGGTTTAAGAAGTGGTCCTAGTAAATAAATAAAGTTACCAGCACAGCACACTCATTGACTGAGTGCACAAAACATTAGGAACACCTTCCTAATATTGTTGTCAAGACAGTGATGAGGTTGTTAGATGGCTGAGCCTAGCTATGAGTGTGTGTGCTTCATTGACTTGAACAGTAGCCTATATAAAAAGATGCATGTGGCTGCGGCTCAGAGAACAATATGATGACCAGAAGCCCTTTAACTTTAAACAAAGGCTTGAAATAGGCCTGTGTAGTGTTTGTGCTGTGTAGTAGACTACAATTCCTCTCAGTCTGTTCCTCCCTGTCTGCAAGGCTAAACAGTGTTGCACTTAAACATGAATTCCAGACAGCACAAACGGAAGGAAAAAAAAACTGAAGGCAGAGAAAGAGAGAGAGTCAGAGAGAGAGACAGAAAGAAAGAGGCAGAGAGAGAGAGCGAGGCATAGAGGGTGAGAGAGAGCGAGGCAAAAAGAGAGAGATCATAAATATTTTTACAAGAAAAAAAAACACATGAGACCTGTCAACACCACCACATCAACAAGGCGACGAATGTCAGATAAAAACAATTAGTCGAAGCTGGTGCCTGGTTCATATTTTGGCAGGGATTTCAATGGGGTGGTGACTGCCTTGTTATCTCTCAGCTAGAATGTCAAGCTGAGGAGAATCACCCAAACACAGCAGGCCTCCACCCCTTCCTCTGCCCTCACACTGACTGAGTGACTGGGCTAGGGCAGCCCAAATCCTGCCTTGACACCGCCACCGGGGCAGACAAAGGAAGTGTTCGGTTCCTGTGCTGTGTTGTGTTCTACATCCTGCCTTGGGAATGATATCAGTGGTGGCCCAGGACCACAGACAGTGAGAGAAGCTGTGTGTCTGTATGAAGAAGAAGCATTGATCTCTCCATAACCACACACCCAAATAACAGACGGACGGACAGACGGGCTCTTTAAAATGTACTTCGATATGCCGTGTGACAATACAGAGAACTCTTCTATATATAGAACGAAGCAGCGACAGATTAAAATAACACCATAAAACACAATTTTTAACATTATAAAAACACACAGCAAGTGATTAACAGTTAGGCTTAGAGTTTAATGAGAGGCCGATATCCAGATAAGCCGGTGCACTCCTTGAGTGAGTTCACAAACAGGAAAATACGTTCATCTGCTAATTACGTGCATGTTCTGAGCTTATCATGCCAATGCAAAGTTGTCAATTACATTTTCATTACTCTCCTTCTTTACAGGCAAATATGAATCAGACTCTGCCCTTGCCTGATTCACCTGCGTTTGCATTGTAAATATTGTGTAACTAAGTCAGGAAGCAAATCTGTAGTCAAGAAACAAATAGAAGGCCAATGGGTCATTCCACCTCAAAAAGCACAAGAAAGAGGATTCCCACACCCATCTCAAATTG